TTAAGTAATACTTTAAAACTTAAGTTATAATTAATGCTTATAAAAATAAAAATTTAAAAGTATATAAATAGTTTACTAACTTTTATAGTTAAAGTGTTTAAAAAGGGTTTAAAAAAGGCAGTAATAATTACACATAAGCTAGTATTAGTGTAATAAAAAAATTACTAAGCTTTAAGTAGCTAATAAGACTACTATATAACATAAATTATATAAAAAAAGTAGATTAAAGTAAAAAAAACTTTAATAATTTAAAAAAGCTTACACTTAATAACTTAAAAAAAGTTTAGAGCGCATAGTAATAAAAAAAAAGGTAAAAAAGCAAGTATAAGCTAAAGTAAGTAAGCTATCTTAAAGGCGCTGCAGATAGTGTAATTAGACTAGGCATAACACATAAATGTATAAGCAAGAAGTAGAAGTAGTATCTAAATAATATTCTAGGCTGTACTGTACTATATAGTGCTAGAGCCGGTTGTTATAGGCTATAATAGAGTTTGTTAGGGTGGGGTCTTAGCAAAAGTAAGCGACTTAGGTGTGTAAGCAACTTGCCTGTGAAGTATGTTATTCTTTATAAGGCTAAACTTACTTTAAATTACTTTAAACCTTTTATAAAAAGCTTTTTTATAGTTATACTTACACTTAAATATTTCTTTAAGCTTTAAATAATGCTTTATAAACATACTAAGCTAGTTTATGTAAATATAGCCTAAATTACACTTAGTGCATAAAGAATTAGCTATATTAGCTATAAATGCTATTTAAAAGAATTTTTTTTACATATATAGCTTAAGTATAACGTACCTAACGGGTTGGCCGGCCACTTTTGCCAAGCCCCCACTAAAACCACTCTATTCTCTTGCAAAACAGCCTACTTTAGCCCTGTATAGAGCAATATAACATAAGATATTATTTAGAGTCTACTTCTACTACTTTTTTACACGTACGCAAGTTATGCCTAGTCTAATTGCACTGCCTGCATTACCTTTAACTTAGCTTACCTTCTTTAGCGCGCACCTGCGTCTTTAGCTTCTTTCTATTACTACGCGCTCTAAACTCTTTTAGAGTAGTTAGACAAGCCTTATTCTTAACTATTAAGGTCTCTTTTGCCTAAATCTACTTTCTTTTATGTAATCTATGTTGTGTAGTAGCCTTATTTGCTGCTTAAAGCTCTGTAATCTTTTTTTACGCTAACACTAGCTTGTGCGTAATAATTACTGCCCTCTTTAAGACCTTTTTAAAGGCCTTTACTATAGATGTTAGTAAGCTATCTACATGCCTCTAAATTTTTACTTTTATAAGCATTAATTATAACTTAAATTTAAGAGTATTACTTAGAGTTTACAACTACTAGGGCTTATTATTAATAGGTAGTAGTAGTAATAGAGTACATAACTAGACATTAAGGGCTATTTTAACCTATTCTAGGTTAAATGGGACTAAACTAGTGCCTTAAAACCCTTCTTAGATATTACTAAAAGTAATTACTATATTATAGGCGTGTATAAAGCATAGTAGAAACTTAAGTTTTATAATATAGGTAATTTAGTTACGCATAAGATTTTTAGCTTAGCACCTATACACCTTCTTTAGAGGGGTAAAACAACCTACATTAAGAGGCTATAAAAGGTGTAATAAGTATAGAAGTATGTAAATAGTAATAATCTTATTCTTTTTATAGTACTACTAAAAATTAAGCAAGTTATAGCTTTTATAGCTATTAATAATAAGAAGCTAATAAGCGCCTATAACTCTTCTCTTTATATGCTTATTAAAGTGCTTTAACTACTGCAGCCTAAGCTTATTTATTGTCTAGCTATTTTTAGAGACTATAATAACCTAGTTCTAAAGCAGATTCTCTTCTTTATACTAGGTAGAGAGGTAATAGCAGCCCTTAAAAATAATAAAAAGTAAAATAGCTTACTTTATTATATTAATGCTTTAGATAACTATTATTTACTTTTTATTACTTTACTATATTACCTTTAGCTGTCTTTATCTTTCTAAAGCTATAATAACTGCTCTAGTTAATATCTAGCTTATTATAAAGCTTAACTTGTTAAAGTTATATGTGTCTTTATTCTAGATACTATACTTAGCTTTTATGTTAGCTACTAGGTAAAACTAGCCCTAGATAACCTCTAGATTCTTATAAAGCACTTTTTTATAATTATACTTATAATTAAACTTTATTATAAACTTAGAGCAGTGCTTAACCTATATACTAGGCTAGTTTAAGCTAACCTAGCCTAGATTACGCTCTACGCGCAAGGAATTAGCTATATTAGCTATAGCTACAAGCCTAGAGGGAAATCTGCGCGTAATAAGCTTAAGTATATACTTAACAACTACCTCTTTTTTAAGCTTAGTTAGATTCCTTAATTTAGGCTAGCATTCTGCTTTTAAAGGCTGTCTAGCGTGTTAATTGCTTAGTGTTGTGTAAGAGACATTATAGATAGCTATAGTGTGTTATAAGAAGAGTTTTAAGTCTTATTTAAAAGCCTAAAAAGCAAGCTATATCTAACATTCTTTAGAAGATTTAATCTAGTGTTGTTGTTAAGGCATTATGTAGATAGGTAGAGTGTGGTGGGGGCTTGGCAAAAGTGGCCGGCCAACCTGTGTGGCCGGCCAACCCGTTAGGTACGTTAGTCTTAATAATTACCTACTTTTTTTTATTACCTAGCTTTAATAATTTAGCTATAAAATTAGCCTCTAAAAGTTATCTAGTGCTATAGTTATTTATTATTTTTTATAAAACTTTATATATAGCTGTAGCATGTTTTTTTAAAAGTTTTATATTTTATTTAAAGGCTTAACGTATAAGCTATATTTAACTTTTTTTTTGCACATTTAAGTAGTATTATAGGGAATGCATTAGTGTAGAAAAAGTAGTTTAGTAGGGTCTTAGTAAAAGTAAGTAACTTAGGCGTGTAAGCAACTTGCCTGTGAAGTACGTTAGGTGTTGTAGAGTAGAGTGTAATTTAAGTAACTATAAAAATGTTGTAAGAGTAGACTGTTTCCTTGTGTAGACTGCTTGCTTATATAATATGTTATATTTAAATAATTATTATAATTAATTAGGCTTTTCTATAGGTTTTATTAGAGAATTTAACGCGTCTCCTAATTAGCCTTGTACTAATAGATATAACGTACTTCACAGGCGAGTTGCTTACACACCTAAGTTGCTTACTTTTGCTAAGACCCTACTAAACTACTTTTTTTATACTAATACATTTATAATAACACTACTTAAATGTGCTAAAAAAAATGTTAGGTATAGCTTATACTTTAAGCTTTTAAATAAAATATAAAACTTTTAAAAAAATATACTATAGCTATATATAAAGTCTTTTAAAAGATAATAAATAACTATAGCACTAAATAACTTTTATAAGCTAATTTTATAGTAAACTTATAAAAGCTAAGTAATAATATAAAGTAAGTAATAATTAAAACTATACTTAAGCTATATATGTAAAAAAATTTCTTTAAATAGCATTTATAGCTAATATAGCTAATTTTTTACACACTAAGTATAATCTAGGCTATGTTAGCATAAACTAGCTTTATATATTTAGAAAGCATTATTTAAAGCTTAAAGTAATATTTAAGTATAGTATAACTATAAAAAAGCTTTTTATAAAAGTTTTAAAGTAATTTTAAAGTAAGTTTAGCTTTATAAAAAATATTAAAGCTAAGTATAGCATTTAAAATAATAACATGTATAACTTTAGTAAAATAAGCTTTATTATAAGCTAAATATTTATTAACTATACTTATACTTAAAACTTTACTTTAAGTTTTAAATAATACTTTATAAATATACTAAGCTAGTTTATGCTAATATAGCTTAGATTACACTTAGCGTGTAAAAAATTAGCTATATTAGCTATAAATGCTATTTAAGAAGAAAATTTTTACATATATAGCTTAAGTATAGTTTTAATAATTACCTACTTTTTATTCTTACTTAGCTTTTATAAGTTAGCTATAAAATTAGCTTATAAAAGTTATCTAGTGCTATTATTATTTATTATTTTTTAAAAAACTTTATATATAGCTATAGTATATTTCTTTAAAAGTTTTATGTTTTATTTAAAAGCTTAAAGTATAAGCTATATCTAATATTCTTTTAGCATATCTAAGTTATGTTGTTAGAAATACATTAGTGTAAAAAAAGTAGTTTAGTAGAGTCTTAGCAAAAGTAAGCAACTTAGGTGTGTAAGTAACTTGCCTGTGAAGTACGTTATTTAATTTTTAAAGATTAGAGAATTCTAGTGCTAGATGTGCGTAGATGAGACTGTGTTGAGCGACCGGATACAGTACTGTACAACAACCTTGGAACCTTCTTCTAATCTTGTTCCCCTACAACAACGCCCACAACATATGCCCACTGACCCTTGAGGTGGATAGTTGATTGGGGTAGTAAATTTGCTATCCATGGGGTAGGAAGAATCTCCTTGGATGGACGTTGGGGTTCATGTAGCCTCAACGGTTGAGAACTCCAAATTCTATTCAGCCTCCACCTAATAATCTGACCCAGGGGACCCAAGACTCCTGCTTTCAATTTTCCATCCACTCAATATATTCTTAAACATCTTTCCCAGCCTTAATTCGTGTTATTTTCGATTATTTCAAGGGGATGTCTTTCGCCCGTCACGTTTCTTCTGTGGGTCTCAGTCAGGTTCAGCATCTCAATGTCTTTTAAATTCCTGGACTACGAAACAACCCCTCATCTAAAGACATTTTTGGGTTTCTTGTGCCGAATGGCATTCAGACATGGTCACATTCTCATTGGATCGGATTTAGCTTTTGGGCACACTTTGGCGTTAGAGGGTCTCTTTTGGTGGATCCATACCTCCAGGTGGGCCCCACCCTTAGCTTAGATCCAGATTCGCAAGAGCCTACGGTATCCAATACGTAGGGTTTGCGTCTATACTGACTACTATTTGTACTCAGAACGCCGTCGTCCTTTCATTCTCCCTCTTCAATGCAACCTCTTCAAGATGCCTTGCACGTTTGACTCCCCGGGGCTTGTCTCCGTCTGCAATGTGGCCAAGCCGGCATTCAGCTTTGCAGATAGGAGCGCCAATTACTTTGGTCTTCCGGCCTCTTATGCCTCAAACGACAAAATCTGCCCCTACTCACCCGGGAAGAGCTTCCTGCCCGTGATCAAGAGGGGCCTGGACTCTTATACCTGCACACTTAACGTTGGCGATACCGCTTCTTCGATCATCTGCCCTGTAATCTCAAATATCGCTGTCCCAGGGGGAGGTCATACGTTGATCTATATCAGCATTGGACCAGACCGCGACCCACTCATGGCAACCACCTTCATCGCCGGTCCATACCCTACTCCCCTAACCGACTCGGTCTACACTACCATCACAAATACGCTTACCGCCACGTCCCAATATGCCCCTGCAGGAACACAGGTTGTCTACTTCCAGCCAGCAATGCAAACTGCCTCGCCTGGGCCTGCACTGTCTCCCCAGCCTAGCAGCCCGATGCCTCCGCCTGTGAGTTGAAATTTCCTTGTACCCTGCATTTAGACTAATACTCGAGAAAAAGTCTTCCCCATCTAATCCGTCGGATCCATCCAACCCATCCGATATATCCAACCCGTTCAATCCGTCTAATCCATCAGGCACCCCAAATACTCCAGGCTCTCCAGACACTCCAAATTCTCCGGCATCTACAGTCCCTACGTCGAACACCTGCCCAAACGGGACTTACATGAGTACATCAGCCGGGAAATTCGTCATTGAGTGCTACATTGACCGTGCTGATGGCGACATGGGACCAGTCGACGCCAACAGCCTAGAATCGTGTGTACAAGCCTGTGCATCTACGAAGGGCTGCGTTGATGTCTCATGGATGGCTGAATCTCTGGGTCCATGCTATTTGAAGAATGGCCAAGGCGACCCGAACCCGAACATTCAGGTTTGGGGAGCAAGATTGTTAGATGATACTGACCCAACAACAACTCCGAACTACCAACCAAATCCCCAGCTGACTAGCTCTTCCGGTCCTTCATGTCCTGGGTCCGATGGCCAATCTTACTATAGCAATGGTAAAGTCTTCAAGATCACATGTGGTATTGATCGTGCCGTCAGTACCCCCTCCCTTGCTCGAACTATTGTCTTAGTTGACATGATATAGGAGGGTTATCTATCTTCTGGTTGCCCCGTCGTCAATGTTAGCCTAGGCGGGTGTATGGACGCATGCGCAACCACCTCTGGCTGTATTGACATGATGCTGTCCGGATCTACTTGTTTTCTCAAGATTTTAGTCAATCCGACTGTGAACAATGCCGAGGTTGCTGGAGCGAAACTCGTTGGATCATACGATTCGACAACCACTGTCACCACCGCCATTCCTGTTGGGACCACAGCCGCTCCTGCTGAAGCCACAGCCGCTCCTGCTGAAGCCACGGCCGCTCCTGCTGAAGCCACGGCAACTCCTGCTGAGGTCACGGCTACTCCTGCTGAAGCCACGGCTACTCCTGCTGAAGCCACGTCCACTCCTGCCGAAGCCACAGCCACTCCTGCTGAAACTACGGCCACTCCTGCTGAAACTACGGCCACTCCTGCTGAAACTACGGCCACTCCTGCTGAAACTACAGTCACTCCTGCTGAAACTACGGCCACTCCTGCTGAAACTACAGTCACTCCTGCTGAAGCCACGGCCACTCCTGCTGAAGTCACGGCCACTCCTGCTGAAGCCACACCCATTCCTGCTGAAGTCACACCCATTCCTGCTGGAACTACTACGAATGAAGGCGGTGTGCCTACGGTGACGGAAACCGCGGCGCTCCAGTGTCCGGCAGACAATGCAACGATTTATACTGGCAGTTGTGGCTCAACTTACATTGTTGAATGCTATTTTGATCGTTGGGATAGCGACAGTGAGTAATGACAGAGTGAACCCAGCATAACATCCAAGTTGATGCAAAAACAGTGCTTGATAGCCCCAAACAAGCATTCACTCTCAACGAGTGCATGGAAATCTGCGATACTAGGGCTGGCTGCGTTGACGTCTCTTGGGTCACCGACATGCCCGGCCCTTGTTACCTGAAGTCGGCCATCAACCCAGTCATCCTCAACAATGCTGTCTGGGGCGCTCGGCAACTCTCAGGTTGCACTTCTGGAGCTTCTGCAACCACACCTACTCTCGCCACAGAAGCTAACCTCCCACCTCCTCACCCGTATGCTAGAGGTTGGCGTCGGCAACGAAGAGCAGCACTGCCATCACGTGTGTATCCCCATCAGAGCATTATCCTGGGTACTTTTTCCTGTGGAAGTCACATTACTGACTTTAAGATTGTAGTACTTCGACGGGGACGGCTACCAAGACCATGACCAGCCGAGGAACCAGGTATGTTTCGATTACGGTGACATCTGAGAGCATAAATAGCCCGATGAACAAGATGACCGTCACGATTTGCTTCACCTGGGGGCCGTTTGTGACGCCGTATTGAATACTCACTGCGAATGTTAGCAGCTAAGAAACGAAGTGGGGGAGTTGGGTAGAGGTAATTAGAATGGTATGAGGGCTTGGGGTTTAGGATGCTGTCATTTACTACTTGAGTTGGACTGAGTTACCTGGATCTATAATGGATAATTTAATCTGGTTCTCTTAACCCTGTCTTCAAGAGCGACTCCCCTTGTAGTCGGCTAGACGAAACAAAGAACAAAAGCAAACACCCTAAGGTCAGAGACCACTTGCTGACCTGGATAGAACGCCGCAAACTGCTCTGAGCTAACTAAACTGAACCAAGTACTTTGTCTAGCGACTAGCCGACCCTTGTTCATCTTAACCAGATACTCTTGTCATTTGTGCCGATTCCTTCTTTCGCGCCACGTCAAGCGTCGCACTACACGGCCAAGCAACACAACACGGAACAGGTCACATTATAAGGTCACGTGAAGGGATCGGGCTAAGAAAAGGGGATTGTTAGAATTGCAATCATATAATAGCAACCTAGGATTGTAATCCACTCAATCTCTAGATGTCAGATATGCGCACCTACTGTCAAGACAGAAGGAACGTTTGACGAAAGCTGCTACATAGTACGAGCAATAGGCTCGAACAGTATGTTGCTGCAAATTGCTGCATGTTGCAGCATTTTGCAGCATTTTGCAGCATTTTGCAGCATTTTGCAGCATGTTGCAGGCTGGTCGCGCATAGGGCAAGTGTGCGAGGGACCCGGATCGGCAAAACAAAAAGCCGAGCAACACGAGTAGAGCAGAAAAAGGATTGATAAATCAACACGATTAATACAATAAATCAATCATCCTATACATCATATCCAAACCCATCATTCATCTCAGGAAGCCTAGAAACAGTGCTTCAATCTGACACTAGAAGGTATATAGTTACTACCTTGCCTTCTACTAGAGAGAACAGAGTGACTAGCAATTAAAAGCTACTTCTGCAAGCCTTAGCGCTTCTTACTACTTTTGCTATTAATTTAATTATTTAAGCTAAGATATAAAATGTTTTATAAATAAACTACCTACCTAACCTAATTAAAACACCTATGTAGCAATAGCGCGCAACACGATTATAATTTATATTAGTATACAGAATAGTACAACGTATTCTACTACTAAGCTAGCTAAACTACAAAGCTAGCTAACTTAAAACCTATACAAAATTCTACTTACTGTTATAACATCTCACCTTAACTTTCCTATTACTAGGTGTCTTCTAACAGTGACAGAGAGTCTAGGGGAAGAGGGTTACATAATACTTCTCTAACATATAGCAGGGCAAGAAGGGTGTACTGTCTGTTACAGATATCTTACCTTAACTTTCCTATTGCTAGGTGTCTTTTAACAGTAACTAGTCTCTTAAAGAAGAGTGAGATAGAAGAGGGAGAGAGAGTGTTAGGAAAAGGTACGTCACGTGATACTGCAACTTACAACAGTGCTTAGAGGGTGTACAGTCCTCTATATAATGCTTGTAGAGTAGAGGTAGAGTAGAAGAGAGTAAGAAGGAATAAAAAGAAGGTAGTAAGATAACTAGTATGTTTACAACTTTTATAAATAAAACAAAGTCTTTAACACGCTTCTAGTTAAAAAGAATATTAGATATATTACTATACCTAAGGCTATGCCTTAAAGAGTAGAAACAACTATAACCTTCTACAGGTAGTAGAAGGTTAAGACTATATACCTAAGAGTAGTTGCAGTAGTTGTAAACGCTAAGGGGTAGGTGCAAACTAAGGTCTACAACTACTACAACTACTTGCTAAGACCCGGAACTACCTGCTAAGTCTATGTACATATTTGTTCTAGCTTTGTTGTTAAGCTATACCTAATCTAAAGCATCACGTAATGTAATCTTTATAGGCTATGCCTTTACTAGCCTTAGTCTATTCTTCCTTTGTAGAGTTAAAGACTTGTATGTTCTTCTAGCCTAACTAGTAGTTATAACATCTACTTTTTCTTCTCTAAGCTTTAACTTAAAGCTTATAGTCTAAGTAAGTTTCTATAATATAGTGTAAGGCTAGATGTCCTAGAACAGGCTAGTATAGCCTTACCCAACCTGTTTGGAGGTTACATAAACTGTGCTTTGTATATAAGCATGAATTCTAACAAGCGAGGCTTGGCAGCGATTCGTCTCTCTTACAATACACTCCTATCTTTCTCCGAACCCTTGCTCTTAGTGCTATCCGTGCTATCCACTATCCTATCTTTACAGCTAATGCTAATCTCTAATATACTAATGTGCCTAATTCTAATCCCCAACACACTAATGTAACTGATGCTAATCCCCAACACACTAATGTAGCTCTAATGCTAATCCCCAACACACTAATGTAGCTAGAGAGGTGGAATAGACGCAACTAACTATAATTTAAACATGTTTTACACAACTCATGCTAGAGCAAACTGCGTATAAATTAACATAAAGGTGCACTTATATTAGGTATACTTTTTAAAAAAAAAAAAAGAATGTAAGAAATACATAAGATAATAGAGAAATAGCATTACTAGAGTTTATCTAAAGAAATTATAACTAACTAGCGCGTTTAAAAGAAAAGATTCTGCTTAACTTTTTATTCTACAAACCTGAATATATTAAGCAGAGCAAGCTCTACTAATAAAAATACTAGACTAGTTTATGCTAACATAGCCTAGATTATGCCTAGCGTGTAAAAAATTAGCTACATTAGATATAGTTACTAGCTAAGAGGAAAATCCTTATGTATATAGCTTAAGTATATGCTTAATAATTACCTACTTTTTATTATTATCTAGCTTTTATAAGTTAGTGTGAGAGCACTGTGAAGCAGGAAGCATGAAGCGCAGAAGAGAGTACAGGATAGTATTAATAGATGAATCCTTGAGGAGACTTAGAGGTTTGTAAGAGGATATATATATATATGTGCTAGAGCACATAACAGGACGTTATATGCCTAAGGCTTGGCTAAGGGCTCTCTAGGGAGAGTCTAAGGCATGTCTAAGTTAACTATAACATAGCCCCCCTCCTTCTACAAGTTGTCCTTAATTCTGTAATTAGATAAGTAGGATATTATAGTAACTTAAACTAGCTCTAGGCAAACCTGCAGTAGAGACTATACAGGTTACACTTAAGTAGTACTTATTACTAGTAAGTAAACTCTAAAAAACTTTAGTAAAAAAACTATATTTAAAAAAGTATAACTAAGAAATTTAAAATATTATTACTAGTGCTATAGTTACTAATATAAAGTGTTTTTATTTTATTTAGTAAAGCCTAACAAGCTTATAAAAGCTAAGTAAAGTAAATAGTTTATAATTAAAAAGCTTATGTTTATAAAAGTAACTTAAAATTATAACTTTTTTATTACTATTTAGTTAAAGTTTACTTTTAAAGGTTTTAAAGCTTTAGTTTTAGTATTTATAAGTACTATATAGCATTTATAAATGCACTAGTTCTATATAGGTAGTTTTTTATATATATAGTAGTTAATTACTAGGTTTTTTTTATTAAAAAATAGTTATTAGAAAGATTATAATTTTGTAATTTTATTTAAAATAGCTTAAAGTTTTAATATATTACTAAAATAGTTTTAAAGTTAGTGCTATAAAGCTTTTAAAACTAAGTCTATAGCTACTTTAGTCTAAAGTTATAAGTGCGAAATAAAAAAGTATAGTGCTATATAAGTAAGTTATTAAAAGAGAATCTTTTTAACTATGTTTCTAATGTATCCTGTAGTCTAGGCTATAGTTTAGTATCTCTTACAAATTACAGCCTATTACTGCGCCTAGTATAAGTTATGTTTATTATAAACTTCTACCTCTTAGTACTTCTTAAGGTATTAGCTTAATTTATAACGTACCTAACAGGTTGGCCGGCCACTTTTGCTAAGCCCCTACTAAAACCACCCTATTCTAGCGCAAAACAGCCTACTTTAGCCCTATATAAAGTAATATAACATAAGATATTATTTAGAGTCTACTTCTACTACTTTCTTACACATACGTAAGTTATGCCTAGTCTAATTACACTACTTATATTACCTTTAACTTACCTTACTTTCTTTAGCGTGCACCTGCGTCTTTAGCTTCTTCCTATTACTACGCGCTTTAAACTTCTTTAAAGTAGTTAAATAAGCCTTATTTTTAACTATTAAAGTCTTTTTTACTTAAATCTGCTTCCTTTTATGCAATCTATGTTATGTGGCAGCCTTATTTACTGCTTAAAGCTTTATAATTTTTTTTATGCTAACACTAGCTTATGGGTAAGAATTACTGCCCTCTTTAAACCCTTTTTAAAGGCCTTTACTATAGATGTTAGTAAGCTATTTATATGCCTTTAAATTTTTACTTTTATAAGCATTAATTATAACTTAAATTTAAAAGTATTACTTAGGGTTTATAACTACTAGAGCTTGTTATTAATAAGTTGTAGTAGTAATAAAGTACGCAACTAGACATTAAGGGCTATTTTAACTTATTTTAGGTTAAATAGGACTAAACTAGCGCCTTGAAACTCTTTTTAAATATTACTAGAAGTAAGTACTGCATTATAAGCATGTATAAAGCATAGTAAGAACTTAAGTTTTATAATATAAGTAATTTAGTTGTACATAAGATTTTTAGCTTAGCACCTATACACTTTCTTTAAAGGGGTAAAACAACCTACATTAAAAGGCTGTAAGAGGTGTAATAAGTGTAAAAGCATATAAATAGTAATAATCTTATTCTTCTTATAGTACTACTAAAAATTAAGTAAGTTATAGCTTTTATAGCTATTAATAATAAAAAGCTAATAAGCACTTATAACTTTGTTTTATATGTTTATTAAAGTGCTTTAACTACTGCAGCCTAAGCTTATTTATTATCTAGCTGTTTTTAGAGACTATAATAACCTAGTTTTAAAGCAGATTCTTTTTTCTTATACTAAGTAAAAAAGTAATAGCAGCTCTTAAAAATAATAAAAAGTAAAATAGCTTACTTTATTATATTAATACTTTAAATAACTATTATTTGCTTTTTATTACTTTACTATATT